TAATTATACCTGCATGCTTACACTTGCTAGGTTGTGTTCACTGTACTGTTTGCTTTCCTTTATATAACTCTGCATGTGAACTGGCCTTATGGCCCTTTGCTTGTGCTCAGACTGTGTGGTGACTTTGTGATCCACCCTGAGCTTGCTTTGCTTTTCTTGACTGGTCTTGTGACCTCTTGTTCTCCCCCACTTTGCCTATGGGGGTGTGTCAAACTTATATCTGCTATGGTCTATTTAGGCTGTAGTGGGGTAGCTCTTAGAGGGTACAACACATATGTGTTTTACATTTGTACCCATCTCATTTCTAGTTCATTCATTCTTTCGTCTATCATTCTCACAAATCTTTCGTGCACCAATGGAGGCACATCGGAGACCCATAGCAGAGTCCCCCGCGCAAAGCCCACCACGTGGCATGCGATATTTGTAGCGTGCTCAACTTTCCCTTGAGCAATTTCGAGGTGGAGGTCTAGCGTTCATTTTTTTTTTTTTTTTTCTTTTTTTTTCAGCGATTCGTTGACGTGTCGCGCTGTCAAAGGAAGAATACCGGGTAACCTACGCACCCTATAGGCGGCTCGTTTCCCCCCCTGTAATCTCGAACCTGCAAATTCGCACTTTCGTGTGTGATTGTGAATCTACAGGTATTGTCACATGCGGTTCGAACATTGCCAATGCTCAAAGTCGAGTCATGTTCAGCTTGTGTCCAAAGGCTTAGATCGAGTCAAAAAGATAAACTTATGGCAAAATAAAAAATCACACACGCCCTAAGGAAAAGGAAATTTCCTTACAAATATATGCGTTACTATATTCACTTTAAACACATACAGCGGGCGATCTAGAAATGAAAGTCCCTTTTGATACATCAAGAATTTGGATCTTAACTAGCAGCTTTTTGGAATCTGTGTATACATCGGATTCTTTCATAAAATAGCATTATTTTTACTCCAGAGCCATGCAACAATTCATAGAAAAATGTTTCAAGTATTTCAGGTTATGTTTCAAGCTGTGATTTGCATTAATTTCGCGTGAGCTCAACAGCGGATTCAGCATTGGGACGACCGCTATGCCACAGCCCCACAGATGTCAATGTGTGGCATCGAACCAGATCTGCTCAGATCCATGTCGCGTCAAATTGGCATTGTGTGGCCCCATTGCGCACCAGTGTGGCGGCAGTATTGACGTCCAACCCGCGCGTCCTTCGTTCTTCCTCCCTGTCACTTTCGCTAGTTTCCTCCATAAGAAACCACTCTACACCGTACAGTACATATGGAATGGAGCGAGCCAGCGAGTCGTTCTGCTTGTCATCTCCTTTGTCAGTTACGACTGTGGAGCAAGTTGCTCCAACTTCGACCCAATTCTCTCGCTTGACTTCTCCGTGCCTCTAGAGCCCACTCACATGTGGATGGTGCACCTCGTCCGTCAGGGAAATCGGGTTAGTTTCACACTCGAGTCACGGCGTCTGACCCTGGTTCGTGAGCTGAAACATTCAAAACATACACAGAAAGCTCTCCTTGCATTAGAGTTCCGGCTAAGTCTCAGCCACTGGTGGAGTTACGGCCCATTTTCCCTCAGAAGAAACAGCGGCAGTGAGGTAAAACGACGACAGCTGCAGCGGCAGCAGCAGCATCAGCGGCAACTGCAGGGGGACGCACGGCCCAGGCAGGCAGTGGTCGTCTTGATCAACAAGAGGAGGAGAAGAATGACTGCCGCAACCGAGTGTGCAATCAAGTTGCACATTGCACGAAGAAGCAACTGCTGGCCAAACGCAAGCCCGCAAAGATGTTTTGTGGGGAAAGTGTTTCCCTTGCTTGATTGATATGGCTGAAATGACGGCGATTTGTTCTGTCTTCTGACCAATCACCGCAATTGATTATTCCTCTCCCATTCCAAGAGTGTGATTCAGCACCATCGCGAGTCGTGGCTTTTGCCTTGACCGCGATTTCTGTTTACACATTGCTGTCTTCTCGTAGTTGTTTCTCCGCAACTGACGGCGGAATCTAAGGGCATGGCCGCGACCAGCGGGCAGCAGCGCATGCAGAGCTGTAGATTAAAGCTGCAGCCGCTCCATCTAGACACTCTTAACCAGGACGATCCCGAGTTGGGGGACTATCGCGTAAGCGAATCCTGCCGTACCGCGAACGATCTTGTTTCGCAAAAGAGATGGGCTCGGAAAAGACGATCGGTCGAAAAACGGCGGGTATCGTACCCGGTGATTCAAATGACCCAATCCGCTGGTAACACAGTAACATTCTCTTTGGCGAAAGCCGAACCGGTTCTCGCGAAGCAACACGTCGTTGCAGCTCCAACGAGAGGGGCAGCGGAATGGTTTCTAGCGGTTCCTGATTCGCAGGGAAGCTCGAGGCGCGGAATCGCCACGGTCGCACGCCGACGACGTGCTGACCGCGACGACGACGATGACTACGCCGCCGACGACGACGACGGCGACATCGACGAACCCGTGTGCGACGATTGCGACGAATTCGGCGACAATCTCGGCGACGCCACCGGCGAAGCATCCAGCAGCAACAGCGATTTCGAGACGAACGAGATGGATCAGATGTTCGGCGAGTTCAGCCGCACGAGCAGCTTCGCAGAACCTTCCACAGGAAGGTCGACTTCGTCGCAGGGGCAGCAGCATTTCCGCAGGGGAGCAAGCATGTCTCAACCCGCAACTCCCGCTGCGTCGCGAGCGACGCCGCGTGCTGTCCCGGCGGCGCCTTTCACGCCGTCCGCTGCCGCAGCAGCCGCCACGACGCGCCGCTTTCTGTGGTCGTGCGAGGAGTCGGAGGAAGACGAGTGCGCCGCGGAAGAGGCGGCTGTCGAAGCGCGTTTTCCGCGACTCCCACCGCTTCCCACACCGACCGGCAGCGGTAGAGGCAATGCGTATGGAGCAGGCAGAGGTGGTGCTTTTAACGGGAATGGTAGTAACGAGAAAGCGGTGCTGCATAGGCGATCGCTGTCGTGGTCGGATTTGTCGTCGTCGGAAAGCGAAGACGGCAATAGCGAGGATACTCTGAAGGCGCCAGGAGGCAGCAGGCGCGGGGTTGGTAGTTGCGGAGCAAGCGTTGAAAGCAGTGGCGGAAGAAGCGGGAAAAGCCGCGCTGTATTGGTGTCTCGTGCATCAGAAGCGGGGCATGTTGGGGCGGGAACAACCGGGGCGGAATGGGGGAGAGATGGAGCGGACGGGGCAGGCGGGAATGCGCGGAGGAGCGGTCAGCGGAAGCGCAACCTAAAGAACCGCGCCGTTGCGGCGGCAGCGGCGGCGGCGGCCGGCGCAGCTTCTATCTTAAAACGCAGCAGCAGCTTAAGGCGGCAAAATAGTCTCAAAGAACCTGGCGTGAGGGGCCTCCGCGGTTGCTCGCATTCGGAACGAGAAAGGGCGGAAGTGGGGAGGGCAACGGTGGCGGTTGCGCGGATTGGCACAGCTACGGAGGGCGCGCGCGCGCCCAACCCTCCGGGATCGCGGAGCTTTTTCTTCGCAGGGGAGTGTCCGCGGAACCCGAACAAGCAAGGCTCCTTTGTAGATGCCTCAACTCCGCGCACGGGGCAGCGGGGCAGCTGCAGCAGCAGCAACGCGCAGGCCAACAGCAGCGCGTTTGGCGGAAGCAGCCGGGAGAACGGGTGTACCGGGGGAGAGGATGGGGAGAGGGGGAATTTTGGGAGAAGCAGCGGTTTGCGGAATCTCAGACGCGGCGCGTCCATGCCCGAATCGGCTATTCGGTCGCTGTTGAGCGGGTGGCAAACAGAAAGCTTCGATAGTGCCACATCGGATACTGTGGCAATGGGAAGTGTAGCAGTGGCAGCAACGGATCGTGACATTAACGACTTGGGTCTAGTCGAAGGGACTGGTTTCCAGGCACCTGGGGTGACAGTAACGGGGGCAGCAGCAGAGTTACTTTCAAGGGAGGGAATGGAGAAGGGGCCTTTTGAGGCGCCTCAAAAGTCACATTCAGGAGAGGGTTTGGGGATGGGGCCAATGAGAAAGCATCGACCGCTGCAGCGACAGCTGTCGAGGGTGCTTGGGAGCCTGAGGGAGCATATAACGAGGACAGGAGGGGCAGAGGGATAGGGGGGGTACAGGCTGGACCGAAAGATAGGGAAGACAGAGAAATTAGAGTGGCAGGGGGAACGGGGGCGGGGACAATGAGAAAGCATCGGCCACTGCAGCGACAGCTGTCCAGGGTGCTTGGGAGCCTGAGGGAGCATGTAACGAGGATAGGAGGGACAGAGGGATAGGGAGTACAGGGAGGACCGAAAGATAGGGAATGGCAGAGAAATTAGAGTGGCAGGGGGAACGGGGGGATAGGGGGGTTGGGATAAGATGCCAGTTAATGGGTCAGTGGGGACAGGGGGTTTCGAGGGGACATGGGTCATAAACAAATGAGAGCAATGGTGTTTCCTTCTGACAACTGACTCTGCCTGCTGTAGTAGTAGCAGGTGCAGCAGGCAGAGTTAATTGTCAGGAGGAGAGGAACACCATTGCTGACAACTAACCCAGCCTGCTGTAGCAGTAGCAGGTGCATGGATACTTGATTTTTTTGCTAACTAGTAAGGTATGAAGGCTTTTGTGATGAGCCCTGACCTGATACTCACTAGTGGCCAGGGAATTTGCGGTTACTGTATCACCACTAGTGAAGGAAAGGGAGGAATTCCACAAAACATGTTTCCTAAATTCCAGCTTTCAGTTTTTAGTGGTTGGTGCTACTGATGTACTTGTAGCAGAGTTAGTGTTTCACATAGCTGTAGCCACTCGCTTGGAGATTCCTTGAGGCACGCAAGGGAAGCAAGTCTTGGCTTCCCATCCAGGCAGCATAGGCATTTGAGTCGACTCAGAAGTCAAACATCAAATCACCAGCAGTGCTATCTCTGGTTGAAGCATGCAACTGCTCTCTTGGAATTGCCCAGAGGCACGTGCAGGGGAAGCAGGCCCGGCTCCCAAGCCATGCAGAAAGCAATTGAGTCGACTCAAAAAGAGTCAAGTCAACATCAAATCACCAGCAGTGCTATCCCTGGTTGAAGCATGCAGCTGCTCTCTTTGAAATGCCCAGAGGCACGTGCAGGGGAAGCAGGCCTGGCTCCCCAGCCAGGCAAAACCCGCAGACCCCGTAGAAAGAATGCAGGATGTCGGGGAACCCCCCTGGGTGCTTGCTGAAACCACCGTACCTCTGTAAAGGCAGAAGGCAAAGAGAAGGGAAAGCAGAGGGGGGAAGGGGGTTAAGAGGGGCAGAACCCGCAGACCCCGTAGAAAGAATGCAGGATGTCGGGGAATCCCCCTGGGTGCTTGCTAAACCCACCGTACCTCTGTGGCAGGAGAGCGGGAAGGAGGGGGGAGGGAGGAGAGGATCAAGAGGGGCAGAACCCGCAGAGCCGTAGAAGGAATGGAAGATGTCTGGAACCCCCCGGGGTGCTTGCTGAAATCACCGTACCTCCATGGCAGGAGAGAGAGAGAGGGAGGGGGGGGAGGGGAGAGAGGATCAAGAGGGGCAGAAACCGCAGACCCCGTAGAAGGAATGGAAGATGTCTGGAAACCCCCTGGGTGCTTGCTGAACTGTACTGCTGTGGAGGCAGAAGTCAAAGATAGGGGGGGACGGGAGAGTGGATCAAGAGGGGCAGCACCAGCAGACCCCGTAGAAGGAACACAGGATGTGTGGGAATCCCCCTGGGCGCTTGCTGAACCCACCGTACCTCTGTGGAGGCAAAGGGGGCAAGGGGGCAGGGGAGGTAACGAGTATGACATGGGCGTCTCATCCACAATTGCTGGAATACACGTGTTGCTGAATCACTCAGCTACTGGCAGGTGAAGAGGAAGCTTTGAGAGAGCGAAGCGGTGCTGGTAATTGAGTCACTTGCTGCTGCCCCACTCACTGTGTTCTGGCAGGTGAAGAGGAAGCTTCGGTGGTTGTGCTTGTGGTAACCGCATCAGTAAGATTACTGGTGCCTACTAAAATCAGAAGTGCTGCTGCCCCACTCACGGTGTTCTGGCAGGTAAAGAGGAAGCTTCGTAGGGCTGGGAAGTCAATGAGGTGGTCTGCTCCCAGCATGCCTAGCGTGCCGCCCACCCTGTGAGTGAGTGAGAGGGGGAGGGAGGGAGAGGGAGGGAGAGGGAGGGAGAGGGAGGGAGACGGAGGGCATGGGAGGGAGAGGGAGGGAGACGGAGGGAGATGGAGGGCATGGGAGTGGGTGGCGAAGGGCAGCATGAGGTGAGGGTGGCAGCTGTGCTCCCAGCATGCTTAGTGTGCCACCCACCTTGTGAGAGATTGACGGCAGCAGCAGCGGCAACGAATGAACAGAGACAAGCAAAGGAATCGACATGAGCATAGAGCAAGAGAGAGCAATGAGACAACAAGAGCGAGAGAGGGGAGAGAGCCAACCAGAAAGCATAGCATGTGTCGGCTGGCTTGTTGCGCCGCCCCTGAAATCCCCCCTCCGCTCCCTGCCTCTGCTCCCATGCAAGTAGAAAAAATGGGGTGAAACGAGGTGTAAAGGAGTAGGTTGGGGTGGGGTGGGGTGGGATGGTATGGAGGATGGGTGAGGACAAGAACAGATGCAGTCGGTTATGACGTGGTGTTGCGTTGTGCAGCAAGGTACAATGAGGTACGGCGAGGTCAGCAAAAGCTAAGGTCCTGCTTGTCTAACCAACAACACCCACTAACCCACCGCATCAAAAGTGCGCAACGAGTGGATACAAGAGCAGACCTGAAGGCACCAATCAATTTGTTTCGAGACGTCTAAAAAAAAAAAAAAAAAAAAAAAAAAAAAACATGGCTTTTCTGTTAGTTCAGCCAGTGGCACCAACAGCCCATCCCATCAAAAGAGCACAACACCTGGATACAAGAGCAAACCTGAAGGCACCAGTCGATCAGCGGAAGCACGTCAGAAGACAGTTGAGGCGAAATGCCTGTTTGCTCTTCTGCTGCTGCTGGCTCCTCCTGTGCACTTGCTGCTGAGGCTGACTCATTCCGTGAGCGTGCTACTGGTGTTGACAGCAATTGCAGCAGCGACTGCAATGGTGGCGACAACCGTGATAGCTCTGATGCCGATGATGGGGATGCTAATGATGCCGCTAATGCTGCGTTTTTTGCTCCTGATAATGACGAAACTGATGCTGCTGATAATAAAGATGACGACACTGCTTCTGTTGCCCCTGGCGATGAAGCTGCTGCTGCTGCTGCTGCTGCTGCTGCTGATGATGATGATGATGATGATGATGATGATGATGATGATGATGATGATGATGATGATGATGATGATGATGATGATGATGATGATGATGATGATGATGATGATGATGATGATGATGATGATGATGATGATGATGATGATGACCATAATTCTGATGTTGAAGATGCAATGAGCTGCAGTGCTGCCACTGCACAGTAGGTTGCTCCTCCTGCACACAAAAGAGGCAAGATTGGAGCGACAATCGAGATTGAGTTGATGTTGTAGTATTGATGACTGAGGGTTCCCCCAGCCACCTCCCCCACTCTCCAAAATCTATATACTCCCCAGCACAAAGGAACAAACAGAAGGAACATAAACCGCATCGCGGCGCCTCCAGAACATGCAATGTCAACCAGAAGGAAGAAAAGCATATGGAAGGAAGGTAATCTTTGCCAAGCTAGCTACCTTTGAGGCGCCTCAAAAGATGACTTTTGAGGTGCCTCAAAAGTCATTGGGCGCCTCCAGAACATGTAATGCCAGCCAGAAGAAGGAAACACATATGGAAGGAAGGAAATCTTTGCAAGCTAGCTACCCACCATGAGCTTCGAAGCCTGGGCCAAGGCCAAACCCGCCATCGAAGGACTGGTGGAGGGAGTTGGGTGGAGAAGGAAGGAAGCAAGCCCGTGGAGAGAATGGACAGGAAGGAAAGGGTCTTAAGAGAAACTGTCTTGATAAGGACTTAGCCCGCCCATTCATTCATGGTGGGGGTGAATGAATGAAGCTCGTACTTCATTCATTCACCCGCCCCTATCCCCTCCCGTTTTCCCGATCCCAACCGTTACACATCTCAAATCACCATGCAACGTGCAGTCAACCCGGAACAGCCACTCCCCCCCGCTCCCCCATGCCCTCTCCCCCCACTCTCCCAGCTCGCGCCCACCCGTGACCTCTGAATGTAGGCAACAGCACGGGGGATGTCCACTCCCCGCCAATCGCCGCGCCCATTACGCTACGCACCACTCCCCACTACTCCGCACCAATCCCCACCACTCCGCCACCATGTGCCCAGTGCCTACCTGTGACCTCTGAATGTAGGCAACAGCACGGGGGATGTCCACTCCCCGCCAATCACCAATCATGCTTGAAATGGCCGCTGCAGGGTTGGTTGTTCGGTTCAGGCAGGGTGAAGGGCAGAGGAGAACAAGGGAGAAGATGCTGTGAGAGAGAGACAGTGCGGATGAGCACCAAGAACCTCACTGACTGAACTGAATCACCAACATGGGCCAGGGAGGATGGGACAGGACACTGAGAGAGAGACGGCAGACCACACATCAGCATTTCCTGATCCCAGCCATGATAAATCTACACGGCGATATTCCCACCCCTCACCACCCTTCACCCCCGCACCACCCTTCACCCCCGCACCACCCCTCACCACCCCTCACCACCCCTCACCAGCGCAGAACACGAAGCGCATGTCGGACTCACTCCCACATGCAACCGGCATGAAGCTGGAGGGAGGGAAGAACGGCGTGGGCGGAGGCAGGCGGGATGGGAGGAATGAGGAATCGCGGAAGGTGAAAAACTGAAAGATGGAACTGAAGTGGCAAGTGAAGGGTTCAGGCACGTGTGCGGCGTGGGAAGCAGGGGGAGGCTTCGTAGGGGTATTTACCAGGAAGAAAGGAAGTGCAATAATCAACTGGAAACCTAGAGTAGAGCAGCCCAGAGCAGCCCAGAGCAATCACCCGCTGCAATCAACACTTCACTTCACCTCCCGTCCTGCAGCTGCAGCTCTCGCAGCGACTTTGCCATTCCTCGTACCTCCCCTACCATGACTTGCACCTCCTCTACTCCCCTATCAGCCCAGCCAAGCCCAGCCAAGCCCAGCCCAACCTACACCTCACCTCCCGTCCTGCAGCTGCAATTCTCGCAGGGACTTGGCCATGCCTCGCACCTCCCCTGCTCTACTACACGCTGCTGTGGTATCCACTCCGTCCCCGCCCCTTGCACACACCCCATCCTCCCGCCTGCCGAGCACCCCATTCCCATCCTCACCCCTTGCACCCACTCCCTCGCTGCTTCTCTCATCCACCTGCTCTCCGAGCAACCCTGCACCCTCCACAGGATGTTGGCGCACGTCTGGTAAGCTGCAACCTGCATTGTCAGCGCCACCGCCAGTGGCACTGCCCTGACTGGAAACAGTATCCTCCTTTAGGGTGGCGAGGATGGCGAGGGCAGTGTAGGTCATGGCAATGTGGCTGCAGTCGTAGGAGGACTGCTTTAGCGCCTGTGAGACGAGGAGGGTGATATGAGGGGTGCAAAGGGGTGCAAAGGGGTACAAAGGAGTACAACATCCTTGATGCACTAGGACTGGGAGAAGCCTCCTTGAGGGTGGCGAGGATGGCGAGGGCAGTGCAGGTCATGGCTATGTGGCTGCAGTCGTAGGAGGACTGCTTGGGCGCCAGGAGATGACAAGGGTGGTATGAGGGGTGCAGAGGGGTGAAAAGCGGTATGACATATCTTTGATGCACTGTGACTGGGAGCAGGCTCCTGTAGGGCGGCGAGGATGGCGAGGGCAGTGTAGGTCATGGCCATGTGACTGCAGTCGTAGGGCGACTGCTTGGGCGCCTGTGAGAGGTACGAAGGGGTGCAAAGAGGTGAAAAAAGGTACAACGGGGTGCAAAGAGGTACAAATGGGGGTAAAATCCTACATTCACTGCAACAAGTAGCATAGAGACTCACCCCTTAAGTGTTGTACGCCACCCCAATGGAAGGGGAGCCTGGACATCCTAGCACGTTCGCACCCCCCCACTCGAAAGTTTCTCCGCCTCTCTAGCTACTACTCACCCCTCGAGTGCTGTACTCCACGCCAATGGAAGGCGAGCCTCGAAACCCTAGAACGTCCGCACCCAGGCACAGAGGACCATTGCCGCTGCTGCCACACCCTGCTGTTGTTTCTTGTTCCCGTGCCATGCTGCTGCTACTGTTTCTCGTAGCCAGGTCAGCATGAACGTATAAGGTTGAAACGCCAGCATCAGGTTGCACAGAAAGTGTTGAGATGGAAGCAGCGGCTTCGGCGATTGGAGGGGGAGTCGTGGTGGTAACAGAATCTGCTACAGGGTTACCACCAATCCTTTTCGTCTGAAGCATTTCAGGGTCCAGGACCTGTAGGGAATGCACCCAGTTGAGAATCTTCTGGCGATCCACCTGAGACATTAGATTTTAGGGTCAAGGAAAGAAAGGGTCTGGTTATCTGGACGGTTACAGGGTTACCACCATCTGTCTTCTTCGCCTGGATACATTCAGGGTCCAGGACCTTGAGGGGATTCATCCAGTTGAGAATCTTCTGGCGAGCCATTTGAGACAATCAAGCATGGAATTTGAGATTATCTTTGTACGTGGATTTGCAACAGGCTACAACGCTTACAACGCGTACTCGCCTTGTCAAAGCTTGCAGGAGATCCAAAGCGACGATGCAGAAGTAAGCCGGTGTGAGCCAATTGCTATTGAATCAACGCACTGTGCAGATGCTTATAATGCTGACGCTTATAACGCGTACTCGCCTTGTCCAGAGCTTGCAGGAGATCCAAAGCGACGATGCAGAAATAAGCCAATGTGAGCCGGTTGCTCTCCTGTGATTCGTACGCGGCTGGAAGACCGTTGAGGCAGTTAACGAAGTAAAACACGTGGCGATCACGCTCGAAGCGCGGGTCAGCTTCAGACGCGTCTTCTGCTGATGACGACATTACGTCTAAAATCCCTAAGCTTGAATTCGCCGGATCAGTAAAATGTGGATTCGGATTGTGGTGATTCGTTATACTCCTGTTGTCATAATTGCAAAACGCATCCACGCCTTACGGAGGTCGCGGGCCGCGGGGTCTTGGTGAAGCAGAGAGAATGAACTAATGGAAAGAGAATCATGGTGGAATGATGATAACATATGGAATGGGAGTGTGCTGAAGTCCATACTTCGAGAGAGTTTGAGAACGGTAGCATGTTATTCCAGGACGCTCGAGTGCGGTGATAGTTCAGATTTCGACATTGGGAACCACGGCCTAGCGCTTCCTGCGATTTTTTTTTGTGCAAACCCACCCACAATGAAGCACCTGCTCAGGACGCGGTAAAAGTGCGAATATCGCAGGATCGTGCCCATATATCGAGTCTCATGTTAGACTTCGCGGATCGATTGGCGAAACGCTGCGAAAACGTCATGGCAACAATCGCCACTTTGTATTGACAAAACCTTACTGTAGCATAGTTACATGCTAGTAAACCGGGAAACTGGTCCGCACACAGATCGCGACAGACGATCAATAGTCTACTTTTACCGCGTCCTCAGTTACTACAACCTCTTACCCCCTCTTTTAGCTCCTTTATCATCTGACCAAAACCTTGTTCCCCCTTCAGCCTCAACGACCCACCCGTCCGCCCCAGACAGCCCTTCCCCAGATGTTGCCTTATGAGAACCTTGCCCACCCTTCTTCCACAGCCGCACATTCTCATGGGCAGGCGATAATTTCTGAATGCCTCTTGTGCTGCCCCTGGTAGATGAAACACCGGAGTACACTGAAGCTGCTGAAACATAACCTCTTTTAGCTGATTCCCAAGACGACAATAATGAGGATGAATGGTGGGATGAAGTTGAGGGAGAGCGGCTATCCTGCTCTGCCAGATGTCGCCATCTGATTCGCGGAGCTGTCAGGTGAGTTCTATGCAAATCAACCTGAACTTCAGAGTGCAGGAGAGCTTCAGATCGCTGCAGCCAGATAACACCTCCCCCTGCTCTCACCTGCCCATCCATACTCGGGCACGACGCCGAGATCGGCCCAGCCAATGAGATTTCTCCACGTGGCACATTCCACTCAAATCCTCCCGCACACTCCACTCCTGTCCAAGCACTCTCGTTCCTTTTCCCACTCTTCCCCCCATCCCTCCGCTTCAAACCTCCACCACTACCTCCCAAGCCATGCCGCCCATGCCCTAACGCCCCCTGCTGCTGCCGTTGACTACTTTCAGCATCCTTGATCAGCCTCGAGATACCTCTTAACGAGCCAGTGACTAACGAGGATGGCAGGCTGACCCAGCCTTTGACATGGCCATGTGCGACCACATAGGCATCAGCAGTTAGCCACCAAGGTGCTTCTGCTATTGACTGATCCTCCTGAAATGCCTCAAGCTGTTCCTGCTCCTGTTGCTGTGACTGCTGCTGATACTGCTGCTTTGACTGTTGCTGCTGGAAAATCAGCCGAGGCTGTTGCTGCTGCAATGACCTGTCTCTCACACCACCTGTCACATCGGTGGTAGTTGCTTCATTTGGACCCGCGTTCTCATCAGCCAAGTCCTGCACTTCTGCTGCTGCTGCTGCGGGGGCTGCACCTGCACCTGCACCTTCCCCTGCAGCTCCTGCTGCCTGGCTGGGTTCTGCTTGAGAGGAGTCAGACTGAATGAGAGATGCTCGAGTGATGGAGACACGGGGCAGGGTCACGTGGAAGGTTCCAGGAAGGCTGCAGCTGACAGAATCTGTGAGCAGCAGGCGGGATGCAGGGGCATTCCAACTCTGCGTGTGCGTGAAAGGGAACGGGGAAGGGGGAAAGCGGAGGAAAAAGGGAGGAAGAGGGAGGCGGGTGGGGTTGGGGTGGACAATTTTCTATGTGGCAAAAGAGAGAATCTGTGAGCAGCAGGCGGGATTGAGGGGCATACCAACTCTGTGTGAGCGTGAAGGGGAACGGGGATGAGGGGAGGGGGAAAGGGAAAGGGTAAAGGGGGAGGAGAAGGGGAGGAAAAGGGAGAGTGGTGGGGTTGGAGTGGACAAAAAGGAAGGAGGGAGGATAGATAGGGTAGGGTAGCATGGTACGAAAATGTGAAGAGGCATTTCAGCTCTGTGTGGGGTTCAAAGAGTAGCAGGTGGAAGTGCAGGAGGGGTTGGAAAGCATACTCACTAGATGGCCTGACGTGAATTGCGCTCCTGACTGTGAATCTGTTACAAGCACGTTCCCTGCATTCACAGCAACAATAATAAAAAGACACAGCTTAGTTTTCTATTCATCAAGAGATAATAATGCGTGCTTTTCATATTGTTGATTTGACCAGCGACTATCACTTCACCAGTGACGTTGATTGTGGAATCCAATGCTTGTGCTGAGTCGCCTCTAAACGCGTACAGAGGCCTGCCATCCTGAAACAGCTGCCCCTCGACCTGACGGTGGTGAGACAGAGGGGGAGACGAGCGGAGAGGAGAGGAGGGAAGGGAACGCGAGGAGGGAGGAGGGGATGAGAGGAGGGGAGAGGGGAAGGCCGTTGAGACGAGACACGAGAAGGGGAGACGGGCGAGCCAAGTGAAACAATTTAACTCGAAGGACGGCCAGGGAGGAAAAGAAGCAGGATTCAAGAAAAAGCACTTCAAGGGAAGGAATGAATGTAAGTGAGGGGATTGGTCTAAGGGAGGGCATTGGTGAATCATATAAGCACCTTGGTCGCCACCACACCACCATCCGCCATCCCTTGCGCTTCTCTCTCGTGCTTCCACTCCCCATCCACGTTCTCCTTCCCCCTCCCCTCCCCTTCTGCGCGCCTCTCCGCTTCCCCCGCTCCTCTGGAGCGCAGCGAATCGGCGCGAAGCGACCACGCTAGCTGGCAGCAGCTCATAGGATCTCCCGTGCTGACGAGTCGCTGAAGAATCACGCTTCGCGCGGAGAGCGAAGCGGAAGGAGCGCCGTCACCACCACTCCCGTTGCCGCCATTTCCCGCGGCGGCCCTGCTCGTTTTGGTTTTCTTTGCTGGGAGATTACGACTTTCGCGAACTGTGCTCCTTTGACGCCGGATCTGTTTGTATACATTTTGCGAATGCTCGCCAAGCGCGAGAATGCGCTGCGAGATGTGGTCGCGAAACGCCCGTAACGCATCGTCACGGCCGCTTACCCCAAATACGCCGGTCATCCGTACTGGAATCGAGCGGTCGAAGCAGAGCGAATGTGGAAGGAATTGATAATGGAACTCTGGAGAAAATTGCCTGGCCTAGTTCTGAAATGGAGGAGTTGTGTTGTGCTGCAGTGGTCAGCCCATCTTGTCCATCCCTCGATACTAGCTGCTCTGTATTTTGGTCGAACCGCGGAATCCTATTCGAGAACACACTTCACACTAATCATTGAGCAGGAATAAAATGCGTCAGGCAATGAAGCAAGACAAATCAGATTCAGCCTATTTTTCTAATGGATCAATCTTAACCGCTCCACACGTTTCATGCTGAATCCCTCCAAAGTTGTACCTTCATTGTGACACCCGTCTTCTTTCCATGCTTTCCGGAGACCTTGGAATTGGGAGCGGATGTGCCTCCGTGTTGAATACGTATTTGTCAAATGGAAGAACGTCATTCTCCCCAAAAAGGAGGTAGAAATACTTGAGGGTTTCCCCGAGGAAGAACGTTTCCATCTTGTTACGCTTTGGAGGGGGCACCCGAGAGACATCGTCGAGCGAAGTGTATCCGCCTGATGCCACACGCGTATGTTGTTCAAATGCTTGGAACATCTTCCACCCCGCCTCGCGATACCTGCAGTTCACGTGACAAAAAACAACAAAACGGCGATGAAATAACTTCAGAGCACATGCGGAGTGGCTGTGGAGCGGATCGTATCAAAAGCCAAGATACACCATAAGCGGTCTGACTCAAACTCAAATAAACCTATTCCCAGTGACTTGGTGTGTACAAAAGCCTCCATTGCCTCGAGTCTCTCTCTCTCTCACACAAGCACCATGGATACCCAGACACACCTTAAATTCCCACTGACCCATTGCATGTAAAACAGGGCCTCCACAATCTGGGGCATCAGCAGGCTTCCAGTAACCAGGTTACATACCATGGGTTCCCAGTAACCCGGTGCATATAAACCAGTGCTTCCACCATCTCTGGCCACTGCAGGTGTGGAGCACTGTTCTGTTCGCCCTGCACCCTGATAAACCATAAACTACCAGTAACCAGGTTACATACCGTGTGTTCCCAGTAACCCGGTGCATATAAAGCAGCGCTTCCACCGTTTCGGGTCGCAGCAGGTTGTGCCGGTCCGCCTGGTGGATCTGAATGTCCCGCCCATACTCGGCGTCGTGCCTTGTCCCCATGTACTCCTGAGAATCCTCCTGATGATTCAGCACATAGGCAAAAGGCAAGGAATCAACAGAAGCCAACAAGTAAAATGAGCAGATTTTTGAGGTGGCGAAAAATCGGCCCGTATTTTGAGGCGCCTCAGAAATGTGTCTGCCTGGTGGATCTGAATGACCCTCCCTCCCATACTCTGCGTCACGCCTAGTCCACATATACTCCTGATAATCCTCCTTGAGTTTTATCAAGCAAAAAAGGGGGAGAAAACAAGACTCAACTGGAGAGAAATCAATAAAAAAACAAAGCTGACAGAAGAATGGCTGCACATCCCTGGTGCCAAGGCAATGCCTGTCATTTCAGTCCTGGTCCTTTCACCTGCACATTGAAGTAGGCTATTTCAGGCACCAGGCCAGCGGCTGTCACTTCATACATCTGAGATGAACGTCCCTGTCAATTTCCTTGTCAGCTGCAGCAGCCCTTATCATAAGGAAGTGAGATCAGAACACAGGCAGCTAGCAACAAGGGAACCCACTCACCCGCATGTTGAAGTAGGCTATTTCAGGCGCCAACCCGGTGGCTGTCACTTGATACATCTGAATGCACGCCTCCGTCACGTTCCTTGCCAAGTCCAGCAGCTCCCTCCCCTGCTGTGTCAGCACGCCCCGTGCTGCTGCCTCTGCCTCTGTCAGCCCCTCAGTCGCTCTCAAAGCCAAGGACCCCGGCAGGAAGCACACCTGGAAGGGCAGGAACGGGGGACACAACAAGCAAGATTTGAGTCACCTCAACAGCACCAGAAGCTCCCTCCCCTGCTGTGTCAGCACGCCACTTGCTGCTGCCTCTACCTCTGTCAGCCCCTCAGTCAGAGCATGCAACCAGAGGAATCCAGTGGTTGGAGCAGTGTCACTCACCAGGTGGTCCATCTTGGGGTGCAATTCTCCTAACAGCCCTGACGGCCGCTCAGCAATGAAGGTGAGTCCCTTGGGGTGACTGCGCGCCACCAGCCACTTGCGCATCCCTGCCACTGCCTCGTCAAACATCTCCGCCAGATACTCCACGTGCGCGCCCCTTCTCCCTTCGCCCTTCTCTCCTCCTCCTGCTCCTCCTCCTGATCCTCCTGCTCTTGCTTCTACCACACTTCCTCCCCTGCTCGTATCACCACCACCAGCACCACCGCCAGCACCAGCACCAGCAGCGGCTGCATCGGTGCCGTTCGATCGCCCATCACCGCTTGCTGTGAAGCTTGTGGTTACCACTTGCAGCAGCGCGGGTGGGTGGTCCCTCTGTTGCAGATACGCCTTGATGAGGTACTCGTAGTAGCTGTCTCCCCTGGACCCCAGTCGGATGTTCTCACCCGAAAACCTACCAGAGTCAGGGCTGAGCGGGAGGGAGAGAAGGAGGGAAGGAGGGGAGCGTAGGAGGGAGAAAGGGAGGGAGGATTGGCACAAGAAGATTGGGATACGACACACGTGGGTTACCACTTGCAGCAGTGCGGGTGGGTGGTTCCTCTGCTGCAGATACGCCTTGATGAGGTACTCGTAGTAGCTGTCTCCCCTGGAGCCCAGACGGATGTTCTCACCTGAAAACCTACCAGAGTCCGGACTGGGAGGGGGAGACAGGAGGGAAGGAGAGAGGTAGGGAACAAGGCGGAATGGCTACACAAGCAGGAGGGCACACGCCTTGATGAGGTACTCGTAGTAGCTGTCTCTCCTGGACCCGAGTCGAACGTTCTCCCCTGAGAACCGCCCAGAGTCCGCACTGGGAGGGAGGATGAGAAGGGAGGGAGAGAGGGAGCAAAGAGAAACGGAAAGACAATCAAGCAAGCACACGCACAGAGGTAACAGGCACACGCCTTGATGAGATACTCGTAGTAGCTGTCTCCCCTCCCCTGGACCCCAGGCGGATGTTCTCCACCGAGAACTGACCAGAGTCCAGACTGGGAGGGGACGGAGGGCAGCAGGGAGGGAGAAACGGAAGCAAGCACACGCCTTGATGAGGTACTCGTAGTAGCTGTCTCCCCTGGACCCCAGACGGATGTGCTCACCTGAGAACCGCCCAGAGTCCGGACTGGGAGGGGGGATGAGAAGGGAGAGAGGGAGGGAGGCTGCTCCGTACTTCCTCTCCCTCGCTACCCACCTAAACCAGCAGTCCCACGCCCGACCCCAACCCACTCACCGTTCCTCAACAAACGCTGCTGCTACTCACTCCATGTAGATGGGCACCAATCCATCCAGTCGTCGCAGCCCCCGCACGTGCTCCATCACCTGCATCGCTGCTGCACCCTCTCCCCCCGACCCATTCAACTCCCGAAGAGCACACTCACTCCATGTATATCGGCACCAGCCCATCCAGTCGATGCAGCCCCCGCACATGCTCCATCACCTGCATCGCTGCTGCTCCGTACTTCCTCTCCCCCGTCAGTCTACTCAGCTCCCAGAACTCCAGCTGGACCGTCGTGCACTCCGCTGTGCTGCTCAGCCCGCCGCCGTTGGCTCTCTGAGCGTATCTGTTGCAGGGGTGAGCAGAGCAGTGGGCAGAAGCACACAGGGACAGAAGCAACTCAGTAACGGAGAGTGCCTACTTCCTCTCCCCCGTGAGTCTACTCAGCTCCCACAACCCCAGCTGCACCGTCGTGCACTCTGCCGGGTGTTTTTGAGAATTCTCAAAAACACCCTCCAGCTGCACTGTCGTACACTCTGCTGTGCTGCTCAGCCCGCCCCCCATGGCCCGCTCGACATAGCTGGTCGGAGGAAAGGAGACGTGCGGGAAGGAGAAGCGAGGGAAGCGTGAGGAAGAGTCACAGCACGCACGCACCGCTGCTGGGCCAGGTACACGTCTGACAGAGGCACGGGCGTGGGACTGCACCCCTCTTGCACCCCTCTTGCACACCTCCTACAAGGGGTCACAGAAAGGTTCACAGCACGCACCGGTGCTGGGCCAGCCAGGTACACGTCTGACAGAGGCTCTTTGCTGCTGGCTTCTTGGCGCGAAGGGGGTCTCATAAAGGGTCACAGCACTCACCGTCCAGCCAGGTAGTCGTCTGAGAGGGGCACGGGCGTGGGGCTTTGCGTGAGGGCAAGAATGAGACGATCCACCAAGTCAACAGCCACTTTCAGATACTTCTCTGATACACCGCGCTTGGCTTGCTTAAGAGGGGTTCCAGGAGGGGAGGGTTTACTCACCGCTGACCCAGGTATACGCCTGAGAGGGGCACGGGCGTGGGGCTCTTAGAGAAGGCCAGCATGAGACGATCTGCAAACCCTAAACCAGATGCTCCCTTTCGCACCCTCTTGCGCTAAGGTCTCACAGCACTCACCGTCCAGCCAGGTATACGTCTGAGAGGGGCACGGGCGTGGGGCTCTGAGTGAGGGCAAGCATGAGACGATCCGCCAAGTCAACTGCCACCTCAAGATACTTGTCAGCTGCCGGCCCCCCTACATCCTCCTGCAACCCCCCCCCTCCCTCTCCTCCTTGCATTCCCGCCATTCCTCCTCCTCCACTCCCTCCCACTCCCCCTCCTCCTCTTCCCACCCCTCCTCCCCCACGCCAGCCAGGGTCCTTTTTCAGGTGGTATGCGCTCAGCAACCCACCCAGAACCCGGATCGTCGTCTCGAAAAAATTCACCTGCCCGGCGTGGTTGATTTTCTCAGGCAGAGTAGTCACAACCCACTGCCCGGCGTCGTCTACTATGTCTTTAATCCCCATAATCATCGCAGTATCTAGACCATCCACTATGGTAGCTCCGAGCCTGCCCAACCCGTCCTCCCCGCCTCGGCTCAGCGGCATGAGCTCGTCCAAACCAAACGCGTAGGTTCGGTAGCCCTTCCAGGCGTGCCGGAAGGCGGCAACCACCTGCTTCTGCCGTTCCTTCCACACAGCTTCGGCTTCGGCTCGGCGGGACTCCGAACCAGCCTGTGAAAAGCCCCCAGCAGCGGCACTCCGATTCCCTACACCATTTCCTATTCCTTCTCTCCCCTCTCTCCCGAGCCCCCCTCCTGCCCATCCCTCCGCCGGCCAATTCCCCTTCCCTCCCACCGCCCCTCCCCTCCTCCCCAGCTCACCCCTCCTTTGCCTCCTCGCCCTACCCATCCACATTCTCGCGCCTTCCCCAGCTAACTCCCTCGCTCGCCCGTCCCTCAATCTCCCCTTGGCCCACTCTTTCCTGAAATCTTTTCTAGCCATTCCTCGTGAAGCCAGCAGGTTCAAGCTGGAATTCCCCATCCTCCCTCCCCTGCCTTCCCCGCCCCAGCGTGCCTCCCGCCCTCCTCCCTGCCCTTCCACGCCTGATTCATCCCGGACCAGCCCAAGAGGGTCGGTGAGCCTCGCCCCGGTGGCTCCCGAGCCTCGGCTGCCGTTCCTGAGCTTCAGGTCCGGGACCTCGTCTCTGGGTTGGTTCGCGAGCTCCTCTCTCTGCCTCTCCAATTCCTCATCCAATTCCTGCTTCCTTCTCTCTACCTCCAATTCTTCCTCCTTCGCCCTCACTGTTGCTTCCTCTAATTCTCGCCTCCCCCTCAACTTCTCCACCTCCTCTTCCTCCCCCGTCTCCTTCTCCTTATCCTTGCCCTCCCGTTTCCGAATCTGCTCGTCCTGCTTCCGCCTTTCTTCCTTCCGCCTCCGTTTCTCCCGGAGCTCTCGAGCCATGCTGTCGGCCCACGTCTCGTCCTCTGCTCCTTGACCCTCACCACTCGCCCTCTCTCTGCCCTCACCACTCACCCTCTCTCTGCCTTCATCACTCGCTCGCTCCACACCTCCACTGTGTCTCTGCTCTCTCTCCACTCTCCCCCCTCTCGTCTCCCCCTCCTGTTGCCCCCGCTCAACTGCTTTCACGCCGGATGGATCAGCGGAGGAAGCAGAGGACGAAACAGAGGAGGTAGCGGAGGAAGAGGAAGGGGAGGAGGAGGAGGAGGAGCGGGAGCGGCGGGAGGAGACTGAGACGGAGAGCAGCCAGAGGAGGAAGAGGAAGGCGAGGAGGGCGACGAATTGGCGCGCGGGGGATTGGCGGAAGAAGATCGCCACGCGCTGATAAGGGAAGGAGGCGGAAGCAGGGGGGGAAGCGGAGATGGGGAAGGGGGAGGAGGGGGGAGAAAGGGGAGGAGTGGGGGGTGGGGGGGAGGCAAAGAGGAAAGGGGTTGGAGAGAGTGGGTGAACAGGAGGAAGAAATGTGAACAGGAAGGAATGAATTAGTCGGGAGATTTGATTCGAAAAAACTCCTACGAGTCAGAAGAATGGTAACGAATACGGGTAACTTGAGTTCACGAGTAGTGGAGGGAAATCACGAGACCCAAGAACGGTACTGGTGGGAACACCGCGGGAGAACGCGGGAAAGTAAGTAAGGAAGAACGACGAATGAGGAAAAGTAGCGACTTAGCCTGAGTAACCCTTCTTTGGTCTCCAAGCTTACCTTATCGTGACCTACAATAGCGAGCCCTACGATGCCTACTTAAAACGAGTTTTACAATAGCTATTCCAACCTAAACGATGCCTACCTTAACGAGTCCTCCCCGTCGGCGGGATTTCGCGTTGTCGTAGGAATCGATGGACTCGCCCAAGGACGTCGCCATCGCAGCAATCAGGAAACGACGATCAGGGAATGGCGAACCTTAATCAAGGAGCATGGAATCTATACACCAGGCAGGGTGGAATCTACACGTGAATTCTACACAGAACACACAGCAGGAGGGACTGAGTTATTTCTTGAGAGCGACGCCTCAGAAACAACCTTCAGAACTTTTCTGAGACGCCTCTAACACAGCGTTCGGGTAGGACGAGTCTTAAAACCTCAATCTACATGACAGGAGGCTAATGAGGCTGATATGGCCAGATAGGCTGAGAAAGCCCCAGGGGCCGACTCGGGTCTGTGAGGTGTAACTAAATTGCAGATTTGAAAGATTAGTGGCCACTAAATGCTTGAGACAGGGGACACAACAGTACAGCAAGGAGAGGCTGTTGGAACGAATGGGTTGGAGGGCGGACAATGACCAGATTCAGCAGCAGAAGGGAGCACACCGCAAGCAGTTCTTGCAGGTCTTGTACGATCCACGACGTTGCGCTTGTGTAAACGCTGGTTGAGCAGGGTTCTGTGCAAAAACGATTGCTACTTCGCTTGGTGGAGTTCCCAAGGCAGTGGCCTCTGCAGCAACTGACAGCTCATTCAGCGTGCACGCGCTTGGTTGGATTCGCGCCTTCAACATCTACGTTATCCGCATTAGCACATTACCGCAATATAGCGAGGCTACCTGGAAGATACAGAACCTATTTTGTTTGCATTCTACACATGCAAAAATCTACTTGCATAAACATATGCTTACATATCAGTGCAATGAACGGTAAAGCTGTTTTTTTTTGCACGAGTACATCACTTCGATTCTCTAAAATGAGAGTCAATTTTCAAATAGCCCATTCAGAATGAAATATCTCAACGGACAAACGAGTCCGCCCATGAAGAAAGCTGCCATAGGCTAAAAACTAAAACCCCTTTGCAACCCCTGATTACAGAGAGGCGGAGAATGAAAATAAACATGCCATATAGACTGTATTCACCGCCTCCATTTAATATTAAGAGCTTCTTTACCTTTGCCATTACATATGTACCCATCATGACAAGATGCGAGCCCCAGACTCTCCCTTACATACTCTATGTGGTGTGAGAACGTTGACCGCTTCGTAGTCATTGTAACAGCGGCGTGCGCTGCCACTAGCTTATCCACCATTGCTCGCTGACCTGGTTGAACATTCAGCTCCTTAGGCAACCTGACAACCACAATCGACCATGCCTGTCCCCTCGCCCTTGCAATCGATGCTTGCGACTGTAACTGCTCCTTAAAAACCTCCACCTCCTCATCCGAGGCATCAGAGGCAACGAAAAGGTTGGTCACGTTCAACTGCACCATTTTCGATGCAGTACACTCCGCCACCACCTGTAACGGCCAGTACTGTAGATCCACCCGGTGGCTAAAGTCAATAAAATCCGTCCGCCGAAGGTGTATAGAAGCATAATTCTCCCCAAGGTACTCATTTATGAACGCTGCAGAAGAATCGGCTAGGCCAGAAGAATCCAGAAGTAATAGGATCATCGTTAACGTTGAAGAATGAGTAGAAAAGGTCACCAATGGCAAGCACAGGAACGTTAGCAGTTGCAGCTGCGATTTTAGGAGCCAGTTCAAAGAGATTACCCTCCTCCTTCCGCACAATTTCTTTCTCTGGGAGCTTTATTTCTGGAGGGATGTCGCCGCAGCTGCCATCTACTAAGGTACAGCTGTCTTTCACCTGGCCGCAGAGAAATTTATCAACCACTAATTCGCTTCCATTACCGCCTTTTAACTTAGAAAACTCTGATCCTGTTATCACCTTGCGGAGAGGCGGGGAACCTGGTTGCTCAGGCTTATGCTCGTCTCCGAAGCACCGGGACAAGTGGCCAATGTCTAGAATTTCGGAATACACCACCGGCCGGCCTTCAGAGCGACGGACGCAGAGCGGAACCTCGGGAACGAGCAGCGTGCGATTAAGGAGAATAGCTGCCAAAATGGTCTTCTGAAAGCATAAGAGGCGATTTGTGCTTCCGCCGTTGGTGCATGAAAGCATAAGGTACCGGTTGGGTAGTGGGATCCATTCCGGTGCTGCTGTAGCAGGCTCAGGTGAGGATGATGAAGAAGAGGGGAGCTGGACGCGAATGGGAGCGGCGCACGTGCTATTTGAGAGTTGCTGCTCAGCCTGAAGCTGCTCACTTGGGGATGAGTTTAGTAACCTCGGACTGACAGATTGCTGCAGCTGGATCACTGTGCTTGTATCGGGTCTAGAAGCATCCGCTTGAGAAAAATTCGCTGACTGAGAACGCTCGGAACGGACAGGAAGTGGCTGCGGAGCTAAAGCGGTCGAACGAGGGGAGAAGGCTGCGATGTACCCGAGGCTGAACGTAATGGCGGAGACGAGGAGGAGGGGGTAGGGAAGCTGGTGAAGCTGGGCGAGCAGATTGGACCGTTGCCGCTGCTGGTGGTGGTGTTGCGGGTCTACGCCATCTTGGTGTAATGGGAGGGAGGCAGACGTCATTGCGATAAATTCCACTGATTTACCACAAGCTAGAAGCTACGAGCTAAACAGCAAACTAAACGAGGCTATTTCACAAACATTGACGTAGCGGGTTGGCGTTCTTGGTGATTTGTGAACCCTAAGCGCAGCAGCCTGTGTGTGACTCCCTGTGACCAGTCGTGAAGGTGGAAAGATTGGGTGGGTACATCAGCAGGTGGAGCTATTTTATCCCATAGCTATTTTATGCTGCTGTTTTCTAGGCATATTCCAGATCAATGCCGGCGTTGCAATTTGCGAGCTCATTATATCCAAGTCGAGCCTTGAGGCAACCAATCGAATGCTACCTCAGTTGAAGGGCCAGAGTTTCGCTCAAAGTCGCACAGCGGAATCGGGCCCGTTTGCCTACTTCCCCCCACACACGAGCACCACTTCGCCAGCCCCCTCTGACCCCCGCCCAGGGAACGGACGGCCTAGAACAGCTGGCGGGGGTCACCGCGCCGAACCTTGTTACTATACGAACTATTTCGGCTCCGCTGTAACTTTCTCGCACAGCTCACTTGCCGGGGTCGCCACGCCAGAACCATGTGGCTTGAAGGGGTGACGACTCTTCTGTGTGTGTGGGCAGGAAATCCATCTCTGTGAACAGAAGCAATTCTCACGCGCAACTCAGTATGATCTCAACTCGACAGAGATTAGAATGAAGAGATCTACAGTTGTAATAAAACACTATAAAGACTTGTATGGCATCAAATTGTCCCATAAGCTTAAGGAAAACATTTGGCTACATGCGCTCCGCCAGTTCTTATATCTGTGGGCTTACGATACGTAACATATTCTTACCCTTCACAGCAATGTACTAGCAACTAATGGACCCTAGACGTCTTCACTGCCTCCATTTGATATTAACTGCTTCTTTACCTCTGCCATCACATATGTGCCCATCATGACACGATGCGAGCCCCAGACTCTCCCGTAGATACCCTATGTGGTGTGAGAAAGTTGACCGATCGGTAATCATCGTTACCACGGCATGCGCTGCCACTAGCTTATCCACCATAGCTCTCTGAGCTGGTTGAAGATTCAGCTCCTTGGGCAATCTGACAACCACAATGGACCATGCTTGTCCCCTCGCCCTTGCAAGCGATGCTTGCGACTGTAACAACTCCTTGAACACCTCCACCTCCTCATCAGGAGCATCAGAGGAAACAAAAAGGATAGTCAAGTTTAACTGCACCATTTTCGACGAAGTACACTCCGCCACCGCCTGTAACGGCCAGTACCGCAGATTCGGCATCCGGTGGCTATGGCCAAGAAAATCCGTCCGCCGAAGGTGTATAGAAGCATAATTCCCCCCAATGTACTCCTCTATGAACCCTGCAGCCTGGTCAAGCACTTGCTGGGGAGGCTGGAAGAGCAGCTCACACGAGGTGTTGAAAAACCGGCTTGGCCAGAAGAACTCAGAACCAGGATGATCAATCTTGAAGAATGAGAAGAAGAGGTCACCCAGAGCAAGCACAGAAACGTCAGCAGTTGCAGCTGCGATTTTTGGAGCCAGGTCAAAGAGATTACCCTCCTCCTCCGGGACAATCTCTTTCTGTAAGAGCTTGATTTCTGCTGTCTCGCCGCAGGTACCATCTATGAAGGTACAGCTGTACTGCACCTGACCGCAGAAGAATTTATCAACCTCTAATACGCGTCCATTACCACCTTTTAATTTCGAGAATTCTAATCCTGATATCACCTTCCGCAGAGGCTGGTCTGCTCCGTTTTCCGGATCTCCGAAGCACCGGGACAAGCGGCCAATGTCTAGAATATCAGAATACACCACCGGCCGACCGAGAGAGCGAGGGACGCAGAGAGGAACCTCGGGAACGAGCAGCGTGCGATTGAGGAGAATCGCTGCCAAAATGGTCTTCTGGAAGCATAAGAGGCGATTTGTGCTTCCGCCGTTGGTGCATGAAAGCATAAGGTACCGATTGGGTAGTGGGATCCATTCCGGTACTGCAGTAAGAGGTTCGGTTGTGGATGATGATGAAGAAGGGGGGAGCTGGACGCCAATGGGAGTGGCGCACGTGTCATTTGAGAGTTGCTCACTTGGGGATGAATTCAGTAGCCTCGGACTGACAGACTGCTGCACGCGGGCCACCGTGCTTGTATCGATACCAGAAGCATCCGCTTGAGAAAAATCCTCAGACTGAAAATGCTCGGAACGGACAGGATGAGGCTCTAAAATGGTAGAACGCGGGGAGGCTGAGAGGTACCCGAGGCTGAACATAACGGCGGCGACGAGGAGGAGGTGACCGGCATAGGGAAGCGGGTGAAGCTGGGCGAGCAGATTGGACCGTTGCTGCTGGTGCTGCTGCTGCTGCTGCTCCTCCGGGTGATGCGGTACGTCATCATGGTGTAATGGAAGGGAGGGAGATGACAACGTCATAGTGATGGATCACAAGCTTACCACTGCTTTACCACAAGCTATACAAGCTACTAGCTACAAGCTACAAGCTACTATTCAGCACTACGTGACGGGGACGCCACTACTTCGAAACATTGACGTAGTAGCGGGTTCGCGTAGTACTGTGTGATTTCTGAAATCCTAAGCCGTGATCCTCCTCTCACCAGTCGCAAAGATCGATTGCTGAGGTTATCGCAAAAGCTCTCTAGGTTGTCTAGAGCTATGTTATCCTAGTGATTGTCTGGAGCTGTTTTCCCTGGGATTTGTCAAGCTATCGGATGCGTAACCCGCCGGATATTCGCTACAATAGCGTTCAACGCCGGCCAGGACGGAATATCCCAGCGGAAATGGGTCGTCAAGCCTGACGACTTGACGTCAAGATATTTAGTTTTTTTCTGCCCGGATGCATGCCCGAATGGGTTGATGCCTCCCTGTGTTTAGGGTTGATGCCTCCCTGACCGGATGCATGCCCGAATGGGTTTTATTTTTTTTGCCCGTGGGCAGCGAGCTCCCCCGGGCGGACTCGCTTGTCCGCTGAGATATATTCGTCAGTCAAGAATCAGTAGTTTATGGGCTGTCACACAGATTGCTCCTGTATAAACTGCTGAGCGGGCGGCCTGCGTCCAACAATCCTCGGAGATGATGTAATTCGGTCGGCGAATTGACGGACGTCGCCGAATTCGCGACACCTACTAGTGCCGAACAGAAGCTTGACATTTGTACGTCTCTTACTGTATCGGGTAAGTTATCTCGGAGGGACCTCGCTGAGCAGAAAAAGACGCGAGTAAGCCGTTTGGATTTTATCAAAGGGATTCGTCCCTCACGGGGTTCACTCCCTTGACCTCCATCGCCAGCGGACGTCAAGCAGCACTTTGAACTAACTGCCGCCAGCGAAGAGTGCGCGCAAGGACGCCTTGAGTTCGAGACAAATGCAGGCGTTTCAAATGGAGTTGAGGCAGTGAAACATCAGTCCATCCAAGCCTCTCTCTCTAGTTGAGGCTATGAAATGGAACCGCAGTCCATCTGGGCCTCTTGTGTTGCCTTGCGAAAAGCCTAAGAAATGCCTTCAACCTCAACCCCCACCAGTTGAGGGAACCGAGTTTCTCTCAACATTGCCTCGCCTTGCAGATGCAGGCCTGTTCACCTTTTCCCCCCACCCCACCCCACCCCACCCCAACTCACCCCACCACACGACGAGCAGCCCCGTTCCCTACCCCCACCACCAAGCGACGAGCAACACTCCGCCAGCTTCCTCGGACCAGACCCGCGCTGAGAACGGACAGATTCGTTCCGTTCGGTAGAAAGGGGTGACATATGGTAAAACAAACAAAGAGAAAAGCAACTGCAGCCAAACACACATGCGAGCGCACTGTGCTTGGCTGTCTTGATTCAGCCACACGTCCTGGCCAGTCAAAGTCAACAGGTGGCACAACCAAGTTGGCACAACCATTCTGGGCACGCTGCAGTCACACAAAGCGTTCGGTGCATGTGGCGAATGTCAGTGTGGCGAGAATGAGGGTGTATCACATCGACTCGACTGAGGGCGTATTCCAAAGCACGGACACCATCCGAAGTTGGGCCACGCGGTCCGCAATGTTGGAAATTCGAATTTCAATGTTGCGCCACGCGGTTCGGCATCAAGACACTTTGGAGCTGACGGCCACGTAACATGCGACTGTCTTGCACGTCTTCATGCGACAAGGGGTTTCATGCCATGTTGGTGTATGATTGGGACATTGAACCTGACAGGCTGAGTACGCGACCAGTTACCGTCACGAAACTTTACGCATTCTGACCCGCGCGCTAGTCGGTTGTACAAACTCCAGATCCTCACGACGTGAACAAGTACTCGCTGCTCTGAACACCAAGCCAACCAACATAAAAACACATCGCTATGCTCACAATACTACGCTCATCACTGCACACTCCGCCATTGACGCAACCACAACCATGGCGACGAACGATTCCGTCGCCGCATTAGCGGCTATCACAGCATTCCTCCAGTGGAAGAAACAAGACGACGACGAGACTGACAAGCTTCTAGCGACAGCGGCCTCCGAGTGGATCAGCAGCATGAACCTCCCTGCTGAACGTGCTACATCAAGGCGGGCCACGAGGATGGCAAGGACACAGCAGCGCGCGCGATGGTTTGAGGCGATAGAAACCATGCCGGAGCACGAATTTATAGGGTTATTCCGTATCAACCGGAACATTTTAGAGTACCTCGAGACCGAACTTGCAGAATCGTTCCTCCCATTGACGCGAACCGACAACATCCCGTTGCGCCTATGCATTCTGATCCCTTTGAAGTATTTGGCGACGGGCATGACGTATCTTGATATGAGCTGGTTCTTTGCTGATCCAAAAACAGTGTGTCACCAAGCTGTGGACATCTTCCTTCGTGAGTTCCCTCTCAGGTTCAAAGCGGAGTGGGTACGCTTCCCTTCGCCAGAGGCCATGACTGAAATGGAGCTGGAGTTTCGGGAGTCCAAGGGCGTCCCGAACGTCATCGGAGCCGTCGACGGCACGCACATTCAAGTGCGAGGCATCGATGAATACCGCAGCGAGTACTACTGCCGCAAGCAGATGTACTCTGTTCAGCTTCAGCTAACAGTCGACTCAAAATGCAGGATCTGGGATTACGTTGTGGGGTACCCAGGTGCAGCGCATGACGCGCGTGTATTCACGAAGAGCGCTTTATATGGACGATTACAGCAAGGAGACATCACACCCTACCAGCTACTTGGAGACGCGGCCTACTCATTGACCGATTTCTGCCTAGTTCCGATTCACGCAAGCCGGACACGTCTACTGCGAGGTTGGGAGCAAACATTTAACTACGTGCACTCTTCTACGCGGATGGCTGTCGAGCGCGCCATGGGACTATTCAAAGGCAGGTGGAGGATCTTCAGTAACTGCCACGAGTGCAAGCTGTGGAGGGTGTGTGCGGGGGTGGGGTGTGCTGTCATTCTTCACAACATGATCGAGCAGCAGGAAGAATGTCGGGGGATTGCACGCGGAAGAACGCGCGGACCACCGACGCGCGCAAGGAACCCGTGGTGGGAGCGCCATGGCATGCGACAGTATCGGTGGCATCCAACTCCCGCCACATCCCGTGCGGAGGTGGTCGAGCGGCGCCACCGCTTCGGCACCCGCATTCACGCTGCCTGGCTTAGGCGCCATGAGGAGGACGCGTCTGCGCCTGAGCAGTAGTGAAATACCACTGCCCATTGCTGTCCTGCGCAAGAGGGGGAGGGACATTGCTGATGTATGAAGGGTCGGCGAAGATCTGACGCGCTCCCAGCGGGTCAGCAGCGTACGGCGCCGATGAAGGGGGCGCCATGATCACGGAAGGCGCCGTAGAAGGGTCGGAACGGGGCGGCCCATCTGATGGAGTTGTGCCACTGCGACCCCCGGGTGACGCCGTTCCGCCAGTCGCGGGAGGTTCCTTGCTTGACGGTGCTGGCGCCATGCGCTCGAGGACAGCTAGGAGGCGCTCGAAAGCCGCGTCCTGCCTGCTGTTCCGTTCGTTCATGATGCGCGTGATCGTGTCGGCCACGAGGAGATGCCCGGCGTACGCCGGAGATTCCATGGCGCGGCGACGAACGGGAATGGTAGGGGGGGGCGTGCCTGGAGTATGGGCGGGTAGAGGGGTAGAGGAGGGCGTGAAATGCGTGAATGCTCGTAATCGTAGTTGCAATCCGATTGGTTATGCTACTGGTTTGTCGTTCCAAGGCAGGAATTGTCAAATCATTGCTTATGTCCGCGGAATCATTAAATGAATGAACGAGCAGAATTGACATGTGCACTTACCTTCAATCCCCACATCCGGGTTTCCCAAAGGCGCCGTCGTTCGTGTTGGTCTAGTGAGACTTCTTAGGCTTCGACGTAGAGGCCTTGCGCTTCCCTTTCGGGTCGCGCGGATCGACTGGCTCGTCTCCGTCGTCGTCCACAGCATCCGCGGCCGTGAAACCGTCAGAGTCGCAGTAGGATTCGTCGTCGGAGTAGGCGCCGTCCTCCTCGCAAGGAATCGGCGGCTCCTCCTCATCAGGGCCCGCGTCGCCAAGTCCCACCGCGGTAGGTTCAGCATTTGGCGAAACGCCAGGGCGGCGAGTGCCCTGTGAGTCCGTGACTCCAATGAGGTGAAGGCGACTGATCCCCATGTCCATCTGCTGCTTCATCCAGACAACAAACGGAGGATCAGGGCGTGGCGCAGGGGGTGACTGTTCTTCCACTGCCTGAGCCCGAGAAGCACGTTTTTTCCTAGGAGCCATTGTGAGTGGGTGGGAGAGGACCTTTGCTGGCTAGTAGTTGGTGTCGAATGTGTTATGACGAGTGCAAGTTTTGTATGGTTTCAAGGCACGGGAAACAAGAAGCATAGAGTTGGAAGGGATGGAGTGCCAGATCGCGAGTGTCAACCAAATCGAATGTTCAAACCGGGGGAAAAAACGATTTCGCGGCACAAGTTTCACAATTGCCCGCGAAGTCAGAACTGGACGTTTGGCAGGCTACACTGCGACGGGTTCTGGCAGATTCTATTGGGCGCGAAGCAAACCAAACCAGCTCTGCGTCAGACGACGCAGACGACCGTTCCGGCCAACCCTGCGACCCCAAAAGTCAAGAGTGGGGGCCTGCCCCACACAGACACCATCCCGAGCCCCAAGAAGTTCGGATGGGGCCACTTCGGATGGTGTCCGTGCTTTGGAATACGATCTGAGATCAAAATGAAGAGATTACAATAAGTGTCTTGAATTCAACCAGCTTTCATAAATTAAAATTGTCACATATCAGTACGCTGATGAGAACAGTTGATTAGGCCCGCGGACCAATGGTACATTCACTTATGCTTACACTTCATAGCAATGAACAAGCAACTAATGGACCATAGACAACGACTTCACTGCCTCCATTTGATCTCAACGTCCTTTTTTAATCGGCCATGGCATATGTGCCCATCATGACACGATGTGAGCCCCAGACTCTCCCTTAAATACCCTATGTGGTGAGAAAACGTTGACCGATGGGTAACTATTGTAACCACGGCATGCGCTGCCACTAGCTTATCCACCATCGCTCGCTGAGCTGGTGGAAGACTCAGCTCCTTGGGCAATCTGACAACCACTATCGACCATGATTTCCCCCCAGTCCATGCCATTGATGCTTGCGACTGTAACTGCTCCTTGAACACCTCCACCTCCTCATCAGAAGCATCAGAGGAAACAAAAAGGTTGGTCACGTTCAGCTGTGCCATTTTCGACGCCGTACACTCCGCCACCGCCTGTAACGGCCAGTACTGTACATCCATCATGTGGCTATGGTCGAGAAAATCTGTCCGCCGAAGGTGTAAAGAAGCATAATTCCTCCCAAAGTACTCTTCTATGAACCCTGCAGCTTGGTCAAGCACTTGCTGGGGAGGACGGAAAAGCAGCTCACACGGGGTGTTGAAGAATCGGCTTGGCCAGAAGAATTCAGCACCAGGGTCTCCGATCTTGAAGAATGAGAAGAAGAGGTCACCAAGCGCAAGCACGGGAACGCCAGAAGTTGCAGCTGCGATCTTAGGAACCAGGTCATAGAGATTACCACCCTCCTCCCCGAGAATCACTTTTTTTGAGAGCTTTATTTCTGGAGGGATGTCGCCACAGCTGCCATCGATGAAGGTACAGCTGAATTGCACCTGACCGCAGAGAAATTTATCAACTACTAATTCGCTTCCACCACCGCCTCTTAAGCTCAAATACTCTGATCCCGATATCACCTTACGAAGAGCCTTGACATGCTTCAGCGAACCAGCTTCCGCGCCTGACTCCTCGGGTTTCGGCTTGTCTCCAAAGCACCGGGTCAAGTGGCCAATGTCTAGGGTTTCAGAATACACCACCGCCCGGCCGAGAGAGCGAGGGATGCAAAGAGGAACCTCGGGAACGAGCAGTGTGCGATTGAGGAGAATCGCTGCCAGAATGGTATTTTGAAGGCACAAGAGGCGATTTGTGCTTCCGCCGTTTGTGCAGGAGACCATAAGATACCGATTGGGTAGAGGATTCCATTCAGGTGCTGCTTTAGCAGGCTCTGGTGAGGATGACAGAGAAGGAGGGAGCTTGACGCCAATGGGAGTGGGACAAGTGTCATTTGAGCGGTGTTGGTCATCCCGAACCTGCCTGTCTCGTAGGTTTTGGTCGGGGGTCTGGTTCGGGAGTGATGGGCTGGAGTCTGGTCCGGTTTGGGGCTTGGAAGGAATGTTAACTGGGGATGAATTCAGTAACCTCGGACTGACAGTTGCCTGCAGGTGGATCCCTGTGCTTGTATCGAGGCTAGCGGCATTCTTTTGACGAGAATCCGAAGGCTGACGTGGACCAACCGGACCACTGACGGTCCGATCCAGAACCGGATCAGTGCCAAAATTTCCCAACTTTTTTGAATGCGATGAGACAGAAGCATGAGGCGACTCGAAGGTGGTTGGAAGCTCTGAATCTGACGACTCAGATAGCCCTGAGGGGCCTTGGAGTGGTTGAGCAGAGTAGGCTGAGAGGTACGCGACGCTGCAGGTGACGGCGGCGACGAGGAGGAGGTGGTAATGCAGCTGGTGAAGCTGGGTTAGCAGATTCGACCGTTGCTGCTGCTGCGGGCGATGTGGTACGCCATGGCGTAACGGGATGAAGGCGGACGACGAGCTCATTGCGATCGATCACCACTGGTTACCACGTATTACCACAAGCTACCGGAGATCACCGCGAATCACCGTACTACAACTAAACGAGGACGCCAGCGTTAACATTTGTCGCCCGTTGACGAAGCGCTTTCGCTTTCATTGCATACCCTCATTGCAGCGTCATCTCCGCGACTTCCGTTTCCTCGCGCACCCTATGACCCCCTCAAGGTTGTCTGAAGCTATTTTATCCGTAGTTTTCTAGAGCTATCTGATGCTAGGAGACTTGGTAATGCTGATCATAGCGGATCAGTCTGAGGCTTGGTTCATTGCCGATGAACACTCACCTACCATTCACTTATCGATGTTCAGAAAGGTGGGTTACGGTTCAGAGAGATGATCGAACCAGATATCACAACCGAACAAAAAAAGTGCACTCGTTTTGTCATGGTTGTCGGGGAAGGGAGAGCGCAGTCCAGCTTGTCGGATCCGCCCGCAGCCTTACGGGACAGCCATCCTCGATAGACGCAGGTTTTCCGACATTGATGCTTCTGAATTTGAAGAAGGTAATTTATATGAATGTGATCTGTACTAGCCATGCTCGTGGAGTTCTCTCATAGTTCACACTATTGTTCTCCTGAAGAGGTCATTGTTTTCTTTGCAGGTGAACAAGAGCCCATCCATCCTCCTCCTCAATAGAGATGACTTTTGCATAAGGAGCATATGCTGCAACTACTTGCTCCACCTGCCATACAAAGACAAGAAAAGGTGAAAGGAGGAAAAAGAAGCAACAATGAAATGTTATTTCCATAAGAAACCAGACATCATCCATAGCCATATAACAGTGCTTGATTAGTACAGGTAAACAAAACAGCAAATCAACCCAATACACTAAAACCAATGCAAACAGGTCCAGACCGTACCTGATTGGTCAAAATCCCTGACAGCCCAAGCCTCCCACCAGGCTTGGTTCTGGAGGAGATCCGTTCAGCCAATAGGAGAAGAGGGTTCACGAGAATGTTGGCGGCGACAACGTCAAACAGCACACGTGGCTCCGACGAGTCAGACACCACCAGCTCAGCAGGCAGGGACGGCAGCGTTACACCAACCCTGGATTCTGTAGCACCGGCCCCTCCTGCTTCATTATTGTCAAACTCGTTAAGAGGGTCTGGGCCGTCCGGGTGCGTAAGAAGGACGGTGAATTGCGAAGAGGAGATGCTGTTGAGGGATGCATTGTGGGCTGCTGCTGCCACTGACAGTTCATCAATATCCACCCCCACCGCTGCTGCTGCTCCCATCTTGATCCCTGCGATCGCAAGCACGCCGGAGCCCGTGCCGTAGTCCAATAGCGTGCTGCCAGGTGTCACGACCGCGCGCAGCCAGCGCAGGCAGAGGCGGGTGGTGGGGTGGTCGCCGGTGCCGAATGCGAGACCGGGCTCGAGAGTTATGGCTAGAAAGGGGTGGTCTTGGGACTGGTCTTGAGAGACCTGGAAAGGTGGGGAGGCAGAACAGAGAGTAGGGTTTGCAGCCGGCACATGCAGAGACGTGTGGTGGGGTGGTCGCCGGTGCCGAATGCGAGACCGGGCTCGAGAGTTATGGCAAGAGAGGGGTGGTCTTGGGACAGGTCTTTGTGATACCTGAGAAGGGGTGGGAAGACGGAAGGGGGAATTCACAGCACAGGCAGCGGCGCGAGGTGGGGTGGTTACCGGTTTATGAAGGCGAGACCCGGCTCGACAGTGATGGTCTGGCCAGAGAGGGATGGGATGAGATGAGACTGCTCTTGAGACTGGCTTAGAGGGAGGTGAAACAAAAGGGGTTCTTCTGTGAGGGTCTTGAGAGGGCTGAAAGCAGGGTGAAGGAAAACAGGAGTGGAATTCTGCACTGCAGTCCATGCAGGGACCAGGCTTCAAAGAACCAAAGACTTATATTTTCATAACAGTTTGTACCATTCCAAGGCCTGTGGCCATACCTCATCCGGCAGTGTGGCCCAAGAAGGGACGATCCAAAGGCCTTGGTCCACGTGGATGGGATGGAAGGAGTCCTGCAGGCAGAGAGGCAGGGTGGAAAGGCAGGGAGGCCTTTTTAGCTGATTCAGAAGTCCACTAAACGAATGTTCGGTCAACACAGATAGCAGGAAAGGACGATCCAAAGGCCTTGGTCCATGCGGATGAGATGGAAGGAATCCTGCAGGCAGAGAGGCAGGGTGGAAAGGCAGGGAGGCCTTTTTAGCTGATTCAGAAGTCCACTAAACGAATGTTCGGTCAACACAGATAGCAGGAAAGGACGATCCAAAGGCCTTGGTCCATGCGGATGAGATGGAAGGAGTCCTGCAGGCAGAGAGGCAGGGTGGAAAGGCAGGGAGGCCTTTTTAGCTGATTCAGAAGTCCACTAAACGAATGTTCGGTCAACACAGATAGCAGGAAAGGACGATCCAAAGGCCTTGGTCCATGCGGATGAGATGGAAGGATTCCTGCAGGCAGAGAGGCAGGGTGGAAAGGCAGCGCATTGTTTTTGGCAGAATGGAAAATTATTAAAACGAAATGTTTAGTCCTTGGTCCAGGCGGATGGGACGAAATTATTAAAACGAAACGTTGAGTCCTTGGTCCACGGACCACACCTCCTCCACCGCCAGCAACACTACTCTTGTACCATAGGCCAACTCTAGAACACTTTTGGGATGAGTTTGGCATAGATTCAAGACTCACCTGTACTTGCTGCACCCAGTCTCGCTCCACTACCTCCTCTAACCCCAGCAAAACTACTCCCACGCCCTCCTCCCTCTCCTCCCCATCCTCCCCTCCTCCACCTTCCTCCTCTCCCTCTTCCTCCTCCCCCCACCCCCCCATGGCCCACTGCACTGAGTCTGCCGCCCGGTGAACAGTGCTACGGATGTTCTCCTCGCTCTGATTGGCTGGGAAGAACGCCCGTAGCCGAGTCTGGAGCAGGGGAATCGGGAGAAGAAGACATATCTGGTTATGAAAAACATTTGAAAAAAATCACACCCAAATTCGAGTTGTCGAAGAGGAATAGGGATAATGAGAGGAAGCGGGTTGGGGAGAGGGAGGGCGAGCGACATTGCAGACTCAGGACAGGAAAACGAATGACACGGAAAGACTGGGGAGAGAGGTGGGAGTGACAGCTGAAACCGGAGGGAGTGAGAAAGATTGGTGCACAGTGATTACTTGCAACAAACGACTAGTTTTTTTTTTTTTTTTTTTTTCCTATAAGAGGTTAAATGGATTTTTTTGAGACGTGTAAAGACGGCGCACCTGATTCCAGAGGTTGCGGGGGCCACTGGGATCCCAGGGAATGGGCCCGGATGAGTATATCTGTGATTTTGCAGAACAAGAATGATGAAAGCAGAGGGGGGAAGGAGCCGAATGTGGAAAGGGGATATGTATGTTCATGTGTTAATGTGCACGAGTTCTTGCATGTGAGGAATGCGTTTATGGGTGTGTGAGAGCATGCATGTATGCATGTGCATGCGAGTAGTGCAAAGGTGGTAATGATGAGCGATGAGTGAGGAGGAGTGCGAAGTTGGTAAGAGGGAGAGTGAGAAGTGCGAACGTGTCCCCCCTACCTCCTGCCCACCCCCCTACCTCATGCTCACCCCCCATACCTCCTGCTCGGCTTCTGTGCCTGTATTGGCATCCTCTATTGAGCATGTAGTAGCTCCTAGAGATAGCAGAGCGTCCATTAACGCGTCCTGGGTGTACATCAAGAGGATTTGAGGGGGAGGGGGAGGAGGGGGGGGTACATGCGGAGAAATTGGAGGGAGAGGGGGAGGAGGAGAAGAGAGGGGGGGGGGGAGGGAAGGGGGGGAAATCCGGGGAGAAGCGGGTGGGGGAAGGGTCAGGGTTTCGGGTTCAAGATTTAAGGGTTCTGATAGCAAGAACATGGCGAATCACTTACAGCCACGTGTCCAGGGCATGTCATGATGGCAGCGCGCGTGACGCAGACCGACAAAGGATCAGATGGTGACGTGTCATCTTGCAATGCAATTTCTCCTCTCGCTTCATGTCCTTCTCCGCTGCACGCTCTGCAGATTCCGGGTGAATTCCCAGACCCATTGGCTGGGAAGATTCGCCTGCTGATGCTGCTGGTGCTGCTGATTGCGCTGGTAATGCTGATGCTTCTGTTGCCGGCAAAGGATCGTTTGCAGGAATATCTAATCACGGAAGCGGGTGCTTGAGAGCAACTAGACGGAGGAAATGACAACTGCTTGCTGCTGCCGTTGGATGACACAGGGGTAAGATGGCGAGGATTGATCATGACCGTTGATTGAATTGACGCCATACGAGTACATAATCTGCCGGCCATTGGGATCATGTGCGGCAAAATGCCTCCCACGATTCGACGCCGACCAGCAATTTTTGCCTGATTACGGTGATATGTAGAACTAAATCTTTTGCTGATAGTTGCTGTCCAGTATGGAGGGAAGGACACGAAGGCTAATGCGAGGAGACTCTGTCGGAGTTTTAACAACTCGAGATATGGGCACGAGGGCGATAGCGAGGCTTCAGATTGAGCCAAATGTGGCGCAGAAGCGAAACTTCATCAGCCTGAACACCAGGACTGTGACTTGCTTGTTGTTCCAACATCGACTGGCGTTCAGTCTGCTGTATTCGTTACAGTGTTCATCACTTTGAGGAATTATATCCCTTACAGTGTACCCGGTATTGTGATCCCTTGGAGTTTGAACTTCTGGTATAAGATGACAATGAGGACCAGATTCAAGTTGGCATTCAAGTTGTAACTTGCCCACCTGATTGAATCGGGCAATTATTCATATTCACTTGTTCAACTGTTTTCCAATTTTGGAACACGAGAAGCCCACAGTCTACATAAACGTCTCATGATCAGTTAAAGAAACCAGTAGCTGGCATATGATTTCTTCCACCCATAACCTCACTACACACTCAGGGCAGCTTGACTCTGTTAGAATCGTAGGCAAAGATGATGTCGACTATCGAGAGGGTTGGTACAAAGAAGAAACCTAAGGGGTTGTACCCCACAGTGTGTACCCCACTAAGCCTACCCAAACTATAACATATATATACATATGTTTGACACACCCCCATATGCAGAGTGGGGGAGAACAGAGGGTCACAAGACCAGTCAGGAAGTGCAAAGCAAGCTCAGGGTGGATCACAACGTCACCACGTAGTCTGAGCACAAGCAAGAAGGCCACAAGGCCAGTTCACATGCAGAAATATATATGTAACAACAACAGCACAGTGATATCTACCTACAAGAACAAGCATGCAGGAATACATATAAATCATGGTACAAACAAAGCCTACAGCAAGTGAGGAAGCGTGGGCACAAGGCCTAACAAAGTGCAGAAATGATAATGATCACCAGGCGGAAGTGCCTTGGTGAATATATCAGCAGTGTTGGCCCGAGTGGCCACGTAGGTAAGACGAAGCTGGCCACGCTGCTGCAACTTTCGAGCAAGAAAGTAACGGAGAGCGATGTGCTTTGTTCTGTGCTCCAGTCTGTGCTCCTGACACAGGGCAATGGCGGCCTTGTTGTCGACGTACAGAACTGGAGGAGAACGAGGCCGCTCTCCCAAGTCGGTCAGCAGGTACGGTAGGTGAGCCAGCGCAGCTCCTGTGCAGCCATGGCTGTGGCGTAGATCTCTGCCTCACAGCTGGAGCCGAGAACTGAAGACGAACGTGTAGAACGCCAGGAAACTGAACCAGAACCCAGGCTGAAGGTGTGACCCTGTGACGACCGCTGCGTAGCCTGGTCGTCAACCCAAGAGGCGTCTGAGTGACCTGTGAGGACAACGTCACCCCGTCCTCCAAGCACGAGCCCCATGCCCGATGTACTGCACAAGTAGCGTAGTACCCTATTGGCAGCATCCATGTGCACCTTTCGGTGCCGACCAGGAGCCACGTAGCGAGCCAGAAGGCCAAGAGGGTACGCAAGGTCGGGACGAGTGCAAGTCATCAGGTACATGAGGCAGCCCACTAACACTGGATAAGGACCACTCGGCTCTACGGACTCGTCCGAAGGTGGAGCTGAGAGCGAGTGACCTGTAGCCAGAGGAGTGGCCTGTGCTGAGGACCAGGTGAAACCGAAGCGCTGAAGGACCTGCTGCACCATGTGTGACTGAGTCAGTGTGATGGTGCGGCGTGCTCTGTCCCGGGTGATCTGCAAGCCAAGGTAGCTGCGCAGTTCACCCAGGTCTGTGCACGTGTGTCTCTTCTGCAGCTCCGACTTCACCAGGGCGAGAGCCTCAGTGTCAGCAGTGGCAAAGACCAAGTCGTCGACGTACACGAGAACGTAGAACGGCGGCAGCGAAGTGTCGGTGCGCAAAAACAGCGACGGGTCAGCAGACGACGGAGCAAACCCAAGAGCCGCAAGTGTCGTCCTCAGTGTGTCGTGCCACTCACGTGGCGCCTGGCGGAGACCGTAGACCGGCCGCCGGAGGCTCCACTTGGTACCAGGAGGGAACGACCCAGTGAAGCCAGGAGAGCGGCGCAGCCAAATCTCCTCATGCAGGCTGCCCTGTAAGAAGGCTGTGCTGAAGTCAAGAGAGTGAAGCTCGTAGTCACGCTGAGCGGCAATGTGCAGCAGCACCCGAAGAGTGGTCATCTTCGGGGTGGGGGAGAAGGTCTGGAAGAAGTCAACTCCCTCTCGCTGACTGAAGCCTCGAGCCACGTAACGAGCCTTGAAGACAGGCGGAGAACCTGACGGCCGCTTCACCCTGAAAATCCACATGCCACTGACAATGTTCGCCCCAGGAGGGGGAACCTCGTCGACGTAGGTGCCTGTGGACTTCCAGGATGCCATCTCTGCGTCCATGGCTGCCTGCCACTGAGAGGAGTACTCACCCGCGATCGCCTCAGCGTAAGAACGCGGGGTAGGGATGTCTGGTGCATCCGGGTCTCCCTCAGGGGCAAGTAGCATGGATACGAGATGAGGCACTGCGGCTGCAAGACACTCAAGGTCCTCCTGCCTGTCCTCAAGGACGTCCGTGCCAAGAGCACACTCACCCCCGACGGACGGAGGACAGACAGACGCAGACTCAGCAACAAAGACTGGCGGCGTAGTCGAGACAATAGGCAGTAGCAAAGTCAACAAGCTCAGCGACTAAGGCAGATGCAGCAGCAGACTCAAACGACGGGTCAGTGACAACAGTGGCAAGTAGACGCGTGACAGTAGAGTGCTCAGCACGAAACTGGTCAGACGCAGGGTCAGCAACGACAGGCAGAGAGGACGCAGGGGGAGACGGCAGAGGAACACGCAGCGGAGGAGTGGAAGGACGACGAGCTACAAGGTGTGATCCGGAGACAGCCGGCTGCCGCTGACGAGGAACACGACGACCGGAACGACCTGAACGGACAGGTGAGACAGGACGCGACGCAGGCTCACGACGCTCAGCAAGGCCCCCAGTCTGCTCTGTGTATGGAGAAGGAGCAGGCAGCGGTGAGCCAGGCTGTAACGGAAGACCAGTAGACGAGGGAAGACTGAGAACCTGGCGAAGTGCAGAGTCAGGTGGTGGCTGAGACGACGGAGACGGCGGAGCGAAGAACAGGCGCTGCTGAGCAGTGCCACCAGCACCAGCAGCTCCAGCACCTCCAGCAGCTCCAGCAGCTCCAGCAGCTCCAGCACCGCCAGTAGCTCCAGGACCCTCAGCAGGTCCAGCACCTCCAGCAGCTCCAGTACCCTCAGCAGCTCCAGCACCGCTAGTAGCTCCAGTACCCTCAGCAGCTCCAGCACCGCTAGCACCTCCAGCAGCTCCAGTACCTCCAGTAGCTCCAGCACCCTCTGCAGCGCCAGTACCCTCAGTCACAACACCGCTAGCCCCAGCAGCTCTAGTACCCTCAGTACGAGCACCTCCGGGACCAGCGACACCGGCAGAAGAACCCCCAGCAGTAGAGCCCTGAGGTGCAGAAGCGCGACGCTGACGGCGACCGTACCAGTCGTGCAGCTGCTGGGAGGTGAGGGGCACACGCGGACGAAGACGGCTACTCCAAGGAGACCGCGGAAAAGCAGTCTCAGAACCCTCAGGCGACTCAACCCCAGAATCAGCACCCCCAGGCCCCGCACACGCAGGCTCAGCACCCCCAGACGCAGCACCTCCAGACGCAGCACCCCCAGACGCAGCACCTCCAGGCTCCTCACGCTCAGCGCCCCCAGACTCAGCACCCCCAAGCTCCGCACCCCCAGGGACAGCACCACTCCCAGCAGGACTGGAGTCACCAGTGACCTCAACAGGCGCAGACGCGGGGGGGTCTACCTGAGAGACACCTGAAGGAGCAGGACCTGGCGCGGGGAGGGGGTCTACCTGGGGAGGACCTGGGGCGAGAAAGAGCGACGGGGGGGGGCGAGGAGCAGTGCGGTAGGGGAAGAGGCGGTAAAAGGGGACGGACTCGTCAAAGGTGACGTCCTGAGACGCAAAGACACGGCGTGAGGCGGGGTCGTAAAGCTGCCAGCCAGGCGCGTCAGGGACAAAGCCAAGGAAGACGCAAGGAATGGCGCGAGGGGAGAGCTTGTCCGCGGTGTTATCGCGGACAAAGGCACGAGCACCCCTGACCCGGAAACGCGACGCGTCGCCAACCTTCCCCGTCCCCAGCAGTGTGGGCGAGGTCTCCGGCAAGGAGACACGGGGCCAAAGGTTGAGCTGATGCGCAGCGTACCGGACCGCAAACGGCCACAGAAAATGGGGGGCAGCCGCATGGATCATGGAGGTAC